GAGAGAAATGAAGTGAAGAAAAGGGTGAATGTGGATTTCAGAATTAAATGGAGAGGAAAGCCTCTCTCTGGAGGTCTTCATGGTACTGGTAATTGTAAGGCCACACGGTGCTTCTAACTGTGTTATGGATTCTGTTCTGAACCATAGCTCTAACATCTGACATCCTGTGTTGTAGTAATTATGAAATAGTGAAACAAAGACAAAAGACATGCTCTAGATGTTCGACCCCACAGCTCCTTTCAGTCCCTATGACCGCTTTTCCCCCCTCAAATGTTTCAAAGGACATAAACTGGGAGGTTATCTGCTATTAAATGTTTAGATCATCGCAGTGAGACTCTGGGTCAGACAACTACTGCTCTGCTACACAGCACACAAGCAAGTTAGTACCCATCCCTGATCCATTTCTGGAACAATAGTTGGCAAAATTATTGAAAGACATATTGTATTTCAAAAGCATAGTGCATGTTAAACACTGAATTGTGTGCTTATTAATATGGTTACTGCATGTAATCTCTCTAACATAGCCTACAAATGGCATTTTAGTTATTGTTTTTGCCATTACTTCCATTTTTACTTATATATCTATAAAATAATATCAATTATCATGTTATATTTAATCTACATTAAATTATGACTTCTCCATTAATAATATAATCTTTATTTATATTCCAACATTCTTTTCCCCCAAGTTTCCTTAAATAATTCAGACAGCTTCCACCTTATGAATTTATATTTGCAGTGGTACAGTTAGTATTTTACAGATAACTGTCCTCAAGCAAGTGTAAGGTAAATGACTTCTAGATCAATGTAGTATCTGGAATTTCAATCTAGATCCTTCATTTCTTCCTACCTAATGTAAGGCCCAATCTCATGTCTTGGGATCTTCTTGCCCTATTCACGTTTTTTCTTTTCCTACTTATGATCTTAACAGAGGAGAACTTGAAAATATAAGTATGATCCAGCATTAACTTACAACGTTACCTTTTTGTTGAGCTCAACAAACAAAGAGGTTAGAAAGGTGCACAAGCCTGGCACCTGGCAACCTTGGGCAATGAATCCAAGCTTCAGTTCAGCAAAGCAGATGATGTTGTCTAATTTCCAGTTCCAGCTGGGAATCTTTGGTAGGTAAACCTGTTTCATGATGGAGAGCAATAGCAACATTACTAACACCTATTCCCCAAGAAAGTTCTTTCTGTACAGATAGCTTTCCTTCATATATTTTATCTTTCACTATTAGACATGAAAGAAGTGCCCAGATCATTCAGAATAATAAGAACAAATTCAAATTCAGTATTGGAAATTGGTTAGTGGTCAAATAAGAGTTCCTTGTGGAGGAAATGATGAACTACTGAGTGATCAGTTGAAAGGTTAGTACCTTGAGCCCACCCAGGAACCCCAAAGGAAAGGCTGGTGATCTACGAGCCATGATAAATAAATAAAAGCTACAAAGCACAGCACTTTTCTACACACAATGGTGCCACCATACGTCTGATTGGCATGAGGGCAACTAATTTGTTTTCCATGGTCAAATGCTCCCATTTTCAAAAACAGAAATGGTTAAATCTGCAAGACAAAGTCAAATGTCTTGAACCCTGAGTTCTTCCCCAAATTCACATTTTAAAGTGATTAACAATTTTCCAATAAATCCAAATTTCACCTATGGTGGGCAACCTAATATTCATATATCCGTATTAAAAGCTAGTAAGGTTCATGTCAATTTACTGAATGCATGAGGAGGAGATTGGGTAGGCTATAACATGATAATACCTTGTTATGAGATTGAAGTATCTGTATGATGACTCTGGTATTAGGACAATAGTTCTTGATCGAAAGCACCCTAAGTAAACAATGATCTCATTAGTGATAAATTATACCCAAATGGTTTTGCAATCTATTTCTATTCAGAATTAAATGGATATGTGAGTAATTAGAGGAAAACTATATATTCTAAATTCTAATTTTAACTATCACAATTGTATTAATTTTAACAGGTATCATTTCCAATAGATAACACTCAAAGACAGTGTCATTTTTATGTGCTTGAGACGTGGAAGAGTCTTGATTAACACTCTCAAGACCCACAGGGCAGACAGCATCCACCTACATTCTCCTCCTTTGGGGTTTACTAGGTACCTGTTTGCCCACTGATAGTGCACGTGATCTCAAGAGGGGATAGAAGAAATGAGCTTATGCCACAAATTACTGGGGTTTTTTTAAATCATTTTATTAGGGGCTCATACAACTCTTATCATAATCCATACACACATCAATTGTGTAAAGCGCATTTGTACATTCATTGCCCTCATCATTCTCAAAACATTTCCTCTCCACTTAAGCCCCTGGCATCCTCATTTTCCCCTCCCTCCCTGCTACCCACCTCCCTCATAAACCCTTGATAATTTATAAATTATTATTTTGTCATATATTTCACTGTTAGACATCTCCCTTCCCCCACTTTTCTGTTGTCCATCCCCCAGGGAGGAGGTTATACGTAGATCTTTGTAATAGGTTCCCCCTTTCTATCCCACCCTCCCTCCACCCTTCCAGTGTCGCCACTCGCATCACTGGTCCTGAAGGTATCATCCATCCTGGATTCCCTGTGTTTCCAGTTCCTATCTGTACCAATGTACATCCTTTCATCTAGCCATATTTGTAAGGTAGAATTGGGATCATGATAGTGGGGGAGGAAGAAGCATTTAGGAACTAGAGGAAGGTTACAACAGACCCCAATGAAATCAAAAGGATAATTACACAGTACTATGAAAGATTGTACTCCAATGAATTCAACAACTTGGAAGACATGGACAAATTCTTGGAAAAACAATCCCTCCCTAGACTGTCCCCAAAGGATGTGAAGAATCTCAACAGACCCATAGCAATAGAAGAAATAGACAAGGTTATCAAGGGATTACCAACAAAATATCTCCTGGACTAGATGGCTTCACTGGAGAATTCTACCAAGCATTTATGAAGAACTAACACCAATCCTACACAAACTCTTCCAGAACATAGAAAAAGATGGCAAACTCCCAAACTCCTTCTATGAAGCTAGTATAACTCTGATACCAAAACTGGGCAAGGATCTGGCAAGAATCAAGAACTACAGACCAGTATCCCTAATGAACATCGATGAAAAAATCCTTAACAAAATATTGGCCAATAGAATACAAAAGTATATAAAAAAATAATTCACCATGACCAAGTGGGATTCATACCAGGGATGGTTCAACATATGAACTTTGGCAAAAATTACTATCTTGACCGGGTATGATGTGAGGTGATGCATCCTAGCAAGGTGAGTTTACAAAACATTTTCTCTTTCATTTTTTTGAGCCTTGTGAGTATATTTTCATGATACTCTGTGTTCCCTGAAAGTTGCCTTCCTAGTGTTGACTCCAGTTCACATAAATACTACATTCTTTAGGGTCTCTAAATTACATATATACCCGCCAAGGGGTCTAGAATGTGGTGTAGGGTCCAGAGGGACAAATGTATCCCACAGAGGCCAGAGTTGACAGATGTGTACCATAGAATCCTACTCCAGAGATAAGAGAACAAATATGTCCCACATAATATGTACCAAAATCTACACTTGACCAAAAACATTCAGGGATGTTCCTGATTCAGCATGACTTCCACTAGTGAAAACATAGGACTTCCATAATCATTCAAAATGCAAAAAACTGAAGGATGAAAGGGTTAAAGACATTCTCTTTTCAATTCACTTTTGAAGTCAGTGTCTTAGAGAATTATAGGACAATGGGTCTCTCAGAATCTAAGCCCTCCTTGTTATGACGTGAATCTCCAGGGGCTCAGCCTGCTGAAGGAGGCAGCTGTGTGAACAGCTAACCCTCGCTCTCCACGACCTCAGCCGGTCATCCCCACTCTTGGTTTCCATTCTCAGGTTTCTTTTTCTTTTTCTCCCTTTTGTTCTAGGTTCACCTTTTAGGTTAAGAGGCAAATGTAAATCATTTGTGCCATCCAAGGACATCATAATCCAGATGCCTTTCTATGGCTTTGCTCTCAGAGATTGTGCAGGTGGATAGAAAAGAAAACTAAAATGGAATGTATTGCATGTACTCTTATGTCCTCTTTTATGCATACTTCCCTAATTTTTTAAGTGCATCAAATAAAACCAAATTTACTACCATTGAGTAAATTCCATCTGAGAGCAACCCTAGAGGGCAGGAAAGAACCACCATTGTGGGTTTCCAAGACTCTGACGGGAATAGAAGTTACACCTTTCTCCCCCAGAGCAGCTGGTGGATTCGAATTGCTGACCTTATGATTAGCAACATGACATGTAACCCACTAGGCCCCAGGATTTAAATGCACGTATTCAAATAAGTTAGCACTGTTTAGATACTGCTATTGCTACTAAGAGGGTGCTAATAATAATATCCCACCCACAAAATAAGAGTTTTATGAGTAGACTGTATTTTATTAGAGTTGTGTCTCCCAGTCATTCCAATAAAAAATTGTGCATGGTTCAGTGCATTGTGGTTGTAACCTTTGGAAACTATTTTCCATATGGCTATATTTAGTCATGGGCTATGTATAAGTAAGAAGTTAGGTTGACTTTGATAATGATGGCAATGCCATTATACCTAATCCAGCTGAACTCATGGTTCTTACAGAATTGTAACGACACCAATCTGTAGGTGACTCTACAAACAACAAGAAATAATGCATGGATTTGTCCCATGCACCATATCATAAATATGAGTTAAATCTCATGGTCTTATTTTGTAAAATGAGAAAGTTGGATTATACACAGATTAATCTATGGACTACTTCAGAATATAGACAAATACAATCTCTATTTTTCTCTCTAACTGACATATTTGAATTTGGAGACTAAAGGCGTCTGGATTATGATGTCCTTGGATGGCACAAATGATTTACATTTGCCTATTAACCTAAAAGTTGGAGATTTAAATCCACCTAGTAGAGATATCTCTCACACACATACAGATTATCTGCTTCAGTAAGAATTATAAATTTATTGCTCTCAAGCTGATTCTAATTTATAGCAACTCTATAGGACAGAGTGAGCCCATGTCGCCTAGTGGGTTATGTGTTGGGCTACTAATTGCAAGGTCAGTAGGTCAAAACCATCAGCAGCTCTGCAGGAGAAAGATGAGTCTTTCAACCTGCATAAATATTTGCAGTCTCAGAAACCCAAAGGGGTAGTTCTTCTCTGTCCCAGAGGGTCACTACAAATCAGAATTGACTCTCTGATTTTGGCTTTGGATAGGACAGAGTAGATCTAGTCCATGGATTCTCAAGGTTGTAAATTTTATGGCAGCAGACTGACACATTATTCTTCCACAGCAGAGTGGCTTATGGGTTCAGAGTACCAACCTTTTGATTCGTTGATGTCTTAGCCTCTGCCCCAACAGAGTTTCTTTTGTGATGATTACAGTCAAGAAAACCCTATAGGCAATTCTACCCTTTTCAAATTGACAGCTGCATGCTTACTTTTTGGGGATATGTTTGGTTTTGGTTTAATTTAGTGTTGTGATAGATGCCATTGTCTTTTATTTAGTTCTATGTTCTGAAATTCATTTTAAAGGAAGTAGAAAAAAATCAGTATTGGAGCATATAACACACAACAATGATTTCATACCTCATGATATTTGAAATGTCTTCAGCATGCGAATCACTGCACAAAGGGTTGGCTATAATCAAGCATGCTTCTGCATATTCCACCTACTCTTCAAAATGAAACAATAGCAATCATATTAATTACACAGACATGCTCACATGGTTTGACCACATATTTGCTAAAAGTGAAGAGAACATGAATACAGTCCCAGAGCACTCTTTAGAAGGTGTAGCCTTTACAGTAGGTTCAGAGTCCTGCAAACGCTGCCACAGCTGCAGCTGACAGTCAATGGGACAGACATTCTGCCCAGCCCTGTCTAGTTTCACAATTGTTGCTATGCTTATTCCCATTGTAGCCACCAACCAGATCAATTTATCTTATTGAGGGGCTTTCTTGACTTCTCCAAGAACTCGTTCCTCCTGTAACATATCCCAAATCTGTGAGATGAAGTCTCTTTATCTTCACTTTTCAGAAGCATTTTGTCTGTACTTCCCCCAAGACAAATTTGTTCTTTCTTCTGGCCATCTATGGTATATTCAATATTCTTTACCAACTCCATAATTCAAAAACAGTAATTCTTCTGCAGTCTTCTTTATCTGGTGTCCTGGTTTCATATGTAAATGAGCTGTTTAAGGATACTTAGGTTTCGGTCAGACAGACCTTAGTCTTCAAAGTGACATCTTTCCCTTTAAAACTCTTACAAGGTCTTTTGCTGCTTATTTGCCCAATGAAATACATCTTTTGGTTTCTTGATTGGTACTCAATGTAAAGGAGACCAAAAT